GGGATTGCTTTCGTTTGCTTACCTTAACACCATCAAGCCTCGGAACTCTTTTAAAGTCAACAAGTTTAGGTGATAGTTGTTTAGTGTTGTTGACCGTTGTAGACTTAACTTCGACCTTTCTTTTTGCTTTTCCTCTATCTTTAGTCTTTGCACTWTTTGGAGCTGGAGTATTTTTCTCATCGGAGAATTTTGATTTTCCTTYATCAATCCTATCATCATTTTTCTTCTTGTTGGAATTATTTTGAGTTTTTACTTGTTTGGAACTCTTTTCAGTTTCCTCAATATTGTTTCTTTTATTTTTTTGCTCCTCGGACGAAGAGATAACTTTCGCTGTAGCTTCTACAGAAATCGTTCTTTCTTTTATAGGATTTTGTGTAGGGAACTGAGTGTTGTTTCTTCTTGTTTTCTGATCATTTGAAATRTCTTCAGYACGTTCTGARCTCTTTTTGGCTTCTTTTATGGGATTTTCTTCGRGAACAACATTTCTTCTTGTTTTCTGCTCTTGTTTTAAGGCTTTTGATTTTAAATTATTCGCCCTATTAGCGTAGTAAAGACCCACAACTAGTGCAAGGCAGGCCAGTGTGCTCATTATTAAAGTAAACCAAGGATGCTTCGTCTTATTATMTTGCTTTTTCTTTGCTTTTTGACCACTAGTTTTGCTTTTCGCCATGATAGATGTAGAATAATAAAATAGTAATCTAGTAAACTCTAGTGTAAATGATGAATTGATCCACTCAAATGTAATCTTATATGGTTATTACAGTAATTAAAAATTCACAACACGAGAAGTAGAGAACTTTGTGTGTGTCTTTAAATTGTTTCTTTCAAATGCAAATGTGGTTTTACAAAAGTTTGGACAGGTAAGAGACCTGTAGAATATGCTAGTGTTCCTTGAAAAAAAAAAAAACATTTGTTTATAATACGAAAGGAGATTAATCAATATGTCAAATGTTGTTTTATAGACATTTATACCAGTGATAAAGCGCTTTGCAAAAGTTATACAAAAGTTTACAATGTCCATCTAGCAATTGCTCTGGAACTATATAGARCTAATATAGTGGGGTTTCGCGATCTCTTTCACGCTGTGTTAGCCTCAATTGTGTGCTAAAATATTCAGAAATGTCGATAAAACTTGTGAGATTTCAAACTATTTCCATTGTCTTCTATGCTCACAGATATCTTGCATTTGCACGAGCTGTTGTGAATAAAAGAATTTATTACATGGTTTTGAGGCTAACACAGCTTAAAACAGATCTCTCAGTCGACATATTTGCGACTTTATTCCTACATTCGATGAAACCCTGGTATATTATGAAAGAGCATAGCTCAGTAGCCAATCAGAATGATGCATTGTGATAGTTCTTAGTAATAAAATAAGTGTTCATAAATGATTTTATATAGAACGCTTGCACTGATTGGCTAACAACCGTGTCTATATCAGAGGACAGAGACACGGCTATGCTACGCTCGTGTTTCTAAGCTTACTTCTCTCGTGGTTTTTCAACGTCCACTTTGTTTATATCAGAGGATAGAGACACGCGCGCCGTTTTATATTTCTTAAATATGAAAGTGCATTAGGAATAGCATCCAACTGATCTGAAAATTAGTTAAAATGGTGCCGGAAGTCTTTTTAACCGTGCCGATCATTGACCAATCATGGCCTAGTACTAATAATAAGGGTTTCGCTGGTTAAACAGTCATGTCCCTTTTAAACTCAACAGTYCATATGATGTTTAGGTACGAACGTTGGATATATGTACGTGATAATTGCGTTTACGTAATATGTAGGTTTTGTAAAAGCCAAATAGTGTCGCTATTTCAAATAAGAAGAAAAACAAATCAAAGATTTGCTTGAAAAAAATACGAATAGATTATATTATTCTMTCTGATAAATGAAGATGCTATAATAGAGATTGAAATACTACGCAGTAGCTTTTAGTTCAACTTTAAAACTAGTTGAACAACTAACCCTATATTCCTTCTATCCTAGAATTGAAAAATAATAAGTAGTTATAAAAATATGGTCATCGCAAATCAATAATAAGTGTGATAATAAGTGTATTAAACTATCCCATTTATGTAAAAATACAGAACGGATTCTTGAAAGCAGCTACCAACAAGAACTGAGGAAACTTTATCTTAAGAAAAATTCCATCCTTTGTTAGAAACAAGTAAATATCTTTGTTGGAGTCATATTATATATACTTTTGATTCAACTTATTCGTTGATTATAACAGAACGATACTAAGAAGCAGCCATGCGGTTAGTTACTGGTTGCTATTAAGCACCAGTTACAGCAATAAATCCAGCCAATCACATCGCCAGTCAATGAACACGAACAAGAGAAACCCTGCTCTGCGCCAAACAAAGTCAAAAAATAAACATTTCTATCATCAAGGGTTACGCGGATCATTAATTTTTGAATGAAAAAATCCCATTATTTTGGGAAAMTTTTTACAATATTCTGATTATYAACTTTAGGAAAARRTAGATGGAGATACATTGCACAAAATGGATTACCTTTCCAAGAATAATTTCTTTATTGATTATATGTTACTGCTTGTGTACCTGTGCTGGAAAGGACATTGATAATCAAGATGGTTTTTGCTTGAATGAAAAGCAGTCTGAATCGGATTGTAGTTCGAGTAAGGATGGTAAATATAAGAAAGAAAGTAATTCAAAGACTATTTCTACAAATTTACCCTCTGAACTTGACTTCGAGAGGGTTGACTTTAATGACTCGAAGAAGTTAAAAGATGAAGGAATACAGCAGGAAGCTGTTGAACTGCCACATGAAATAAAGACACTTCAAATCCCCATCTTGGATGGAATTAAGGTAAGATTTGTATAAATTTAAATTTGCGGTTTCTTGGTTAGGAATTAGTTGATTTAGATTACGGATATTCAATCATTAATTACATATTATAATCATTGACAATTTGAATTGGTATGTTGACATACAAGTAAAGGCTTTTCTTAATTTGCACACCTCTACTATGGATATCTAAGTTTTACACAATGTTATYACACTATAGCACTTATATAATATAGAAAAGTCTTTCACTGTGTTTGGAGCCTTTGCAACCTTGCTACAAAAAATCACGGGAAAATATAGAGTTGGTAAATTTAATGTAAATTATTCAATTTAAAAACTTTTCAAAATGTTGAGCGAACATCGATTTGAATTATACAAGATATTTTACAATGTTGATCCAGCAAATTTTAAAAGTATTTAGGAATGTATATAAAACTTGCAAACTTTTTGAGATGACATTTTGTCAGTATATAAATTGAGTATATTTACAGTGATAACATATTTATAGGTATAAACGAATAAAATTTTCCAGTGAATAAAATTTTATAGTACGCGGAGAATCTAGTAGTCTGCTTTATTGCTACCTCTGCAATCGTGTCTTGAAACCGCATTGACGTGTATTACCAGATCTGACTGCTCTWATRATATATTCAGGTTGGACACGTCCAAGACGTTGAAATTATGCCYGGYGTGACAAGGCAAATCAAAACATTAAGTTTACATCCACCAATATTCGGTAGGTTTTTAATTCAGCGTAGAGTTATAATGCAGTTAATAAATTCCGTTGCTATGTTCAAAGTTATAAGATGTTCTATGTCAATTTTATATTTAATATCCAGTGCTTCACATTTCTTTTAGATACCGTCGGTATTAACTCTTCTTCTCGTCCTTTGGCTTTGTTGTTGTGGTTATTATTATTGTTGTTGTTGTTGTTGCTGCTGTTGTTGCTGTTTTTGTGGTTTTAGTTGTTGATGGCGTTGGCGTTACTGTTGTCGTTTCGATTCTTCTTCATTGCTCTCTTCTTCATCACATTAACAATTTCCTTTTCCTTCTCAGGCTCCTCTAATCTCTCTTATGTTGTATTCTTGTTTTTCTCCTCCTAAAACCTCACCACCTTCTTCATGTGCAGTGTATGTCGTCTCGTGCACTGGAAGAAGCTTCCACAGTCACTATCCGGTATCGACTCTGGAAGTCTCTACTAGTATGAAAGTGTGAAATCTACTTCTCTGTTGCTCCTGTAGCTGCTCTACTTCATCATCACAATCATCATCTTTCCTTTAAGGAGTAGAACTCACTCCCGGAATCTATGTTATCTAGTCTATTGATGCTGATTACTTTAGGCGCAATGTTTTCACGGTGCCTGTACTGGAAAATAATAAATTAATAAATGTATTCTTCAGTGGTGTATTTTTCGTATTATCTTCGTCCTCGTAATCATCATTATAATATTCTCTTCAGAAATTCCAGATTTTCTCGATCCAACTGAGTGTGATTTGATAGTTGCTATGGCTGATCGCAAAGGCATGTCAACCATAAAATTACACATATCCAATGAAGGAATAACATTTGAAGATGTGATCAATACTTTCAAGTCATGGGATTACAACGGTGATGGCTTTATTGACCCAGAAGAGGTAACACACTCTTAAATATGAACTTGGTTGGGTTGATAAGCTCAGTTTTAGCGGTTACTTATCCAATTCGCTGGGCTCACTGCTTCGTTCAACTGTCGTATATTGAATGATGGTCCTTTTAGGATTTGACAATCAGTTCAGTTCACTATTTCGTGTAGTTAGAGTATGAAACTTGGTTGATTAGAGAGTTTAGATACGCGTTTRCGGCGAACGATAAACGTCAAAACTGATCACGTGATCACTGTTTTTCTTTATYAACGCTCCGTTCTTTCGCGATTGTGTAGAAAAAAGATCACTTTTTCATGCAAAAGCGCATTACTTTTCCTATATCCATTCGTTTGTAAGATTGTTTGAAGTTTTGAGACAAAGTATAAAAGCCAATTTGACGTTTGTCGCTTGCAGTAAACGTGAATCTAAAACTTTCTATTGACTGGACGTGTYGTCACTGCGATGGAATTGCTGGTTGATTGGTTGGATGGGTTTCGKGCTGCTTGTGTTTTGCTTTTTTATTTGGTTGGTCAGATTATCATTGGTGCAATTAGGTGATTGTTGATAATTGATAATAATAATAATAATAATAATAACTTTAATAGCAACTCCTAAAAAGGCTTTTCAGTAACTATTTACAATAATGTAATAAATAATATAATAGATGAAATATAAAATTTATATATAATGTGTTAAAAAATTACAAGGTATAATAATAGTGATGTGTATTTATAATGACTAATGTATATAAGGTATCTAGAATCGCATTGGTTGATTGAATAGCTAGCATTGTTGTATAATGGGATGAAATTAATGGTTTATTGATTTCTAAAGGCTGGTTGTTTTTTGTTTTTTTTTGTTTATTTGTTTGTTTGTTTGTTGTTTCTTTGCCTGGTGAACATCGCTTTGACATCAAGATCCAGTGATCACAAAATATGAACAATTGTTCGATTAATTACAGATTATATTATTACCTGGAAAGGATGCTCTTCAATTCCAGGAAAAAGATGTTTTACAAATGTGAGTACTAGATACATACATCAACTATGCAGAGGATATTCTATAAACCATGATGTAAAACATAATATAACAAAAATATATAATAATCGGCTTGTTCCAAATAATTTAACAAAGATAATCAGACTTAAAGGGTTCGGTATAAATGTGTTTTCCTTTTTTTGCAGGTTTAAGGATCTAGATATGGACAAAGACTCGAATGGTAATTAGATGCTTCTTTCCTTTCTCTTATGTTCTGTTTGGTGACATTTGTTGTGCATTGAAATCTTGCTAATTTGTTAAATTCGCTGTGTTTATATGAATTTCGCCTAGCTTGTTTTTATTTTCTTAGTTCAGATTTCCGGTTTTTTATGTTCTGTTAAATGTCGTTATTTTTTGTCTTTTTAGTATAGTTTACAACATGAGCGGCCGTGTTGTATTGGAATTACAAACTCGAGCCGCAGGCGAGAGATTGTAATTCCCATACAACACGGACGCGAATGTTGTAAACGACTTATAAAACTCCAACACAAATTAACATGAATTACAGTGAGATAAATGACGAAAAATGACAAATAAGGTGTTCTGCTGAGTTTAGTCCCTATTAAGCATGCGCAATTTACTGCAACACAGAACATTTTGAATAATTTTCCATCCCACATGGAAAGCAAGCCATCTGTTGCATAAGCGATTTCTGTTATCCGTCTTTGATTGCTTCAAAACCTAGTGAAGGTCTATGATGCCACACTAAAACTGAGACCTTTGCTAGTGTTGGGTTGTCTCAATGGTGACGACCGTGTTGTAAATCTGATACAACCACTAGTGTTGTAAATCTGATACAACACTAGTGGTTGTATCAGATTTACAAGGTCAATCACCTGATTAAATGGTCAGCCCTAATTGGAGCAATAGCTTATGCATTATTAATAAGTTTTATAATGTGTTTTATTGTTTTCTGTATGGTCTGCTTTGTTGTTTTGGACTTTTTATTACTGCATTTTTTTTTTGTTTTCTTTTGTTCTATAACTGTTGTTTGCTACTTGAATAATTAAGTCCAGACGTTCTTGCAGATAAACTAGACATAGAGGAATTCAAGAACACCAGCCTGACTAAGATACAAAAGTACATCAATGAACGCCTTAATGACGTCACTCAATTACGTAATGCTACCAGGGATCAGGTCTGGTTGTGGCATGATGATGATGAGTTGCTAAGATACCAACCAGAATTCATGGGAAACTACCATGAAAGGTACAAGCACGCTCTTACGAATCAGACCTGAAGTCTTGCCATTGACGAGGGTTGTAGTCATCTATCATTGCCAGATGAACAGTTGAACCATAGAATTATTTGTCTTATTCTCTCTCTTTTTCTTCTTTAATTTTTCACAATACTCCCCATTTAGTCCCCTTTCATAAATGTTGGGTCTTATTTCTGGTGGTTATGTACATGCTCAATGACAACTTAACTGCACCRCATTTGTCTGCTCTTGTTGCTTAAAATATGAAACTGAACTCATTTGGATTGTCCAAGAATTTTGACATCAATTGTAGTCTTAATGCAAGAGCACATTTTACTTTCTAGATTAAAAGAAAATTCMTTTTTTTTGTCGCTAGAATATTACATGCAAGGGCCCTGATCCAAATATCTATTAGAACGCCATTTTGATTATATTACTAATCTTTCCAGGCTAGAAGCAATAACCAAAGTCCCAAAGGAGATCATCCAACAGAGTGAACCTCTTCAGGTATAAACTACTGGTAATTGTATAATAATAATAATAATAATAATAATAATAATAATAATAATAATAATAATAATAATAATAATAATAATAATAATAATAATAATAATAATAACGAATATCTGTTTAACAGACAACCAGAGTAGAGATATAATTCATACTGCTGGTGTTAATTTAACTTAGAGTCGGCCCCATCCAGGAGCTTAGACGCTAAGCACCTTTTGTAAAATGAGGGTGGTCCCAATCACTGCACACGTCTGCATACCACCCAGAACATCTGGGATACCCAAAACTTTTAGGTATCCCACAAACCTACTCGACACAACCCCAAGACAACCAACAACTAATGGAACTACCTTTGTTGATACCCGGTGCATCTTCCTTATCTCCTTTGCCAAAGGTGCATACTTTGCAACCTTTTCATCCTCCTTCAACACCACGTTCTTGTCCCAAGGCACCGAGAAATCAACAAACGTCCACTCCTGGGCCGCCCGATTCAACACAGTAACATCCGGACGATTATGTTCCATCTTCTGTGTTGTCTCGACGCCCCTGTCCCACCAAATCTCTACCTGACCATCCTCTGACACCCTTACCTCATCGGGTACTTCCTTATACCAAACATCAGCACACTTCACTCCATACTTCCTACACAGTTCCCAATACACCCTCAAGCCCATTCTATCATGCCTTCTCCTGTATTCCTTTTGAGCTAGCCCACTACAACCACTCGCCAAATGTCCCACAGACTCCACCTCCTTACCACAAACCCTGCACTTTGGATCAACAGCTTCCTTTTGGATCGTGGCTCGGAAAAACCTCGTCCTCAAAGCCTGTTCTTGTGCTGCAAACACAAACCCCTCAGTGCCCTTTCCCAAATACCCTGCTCTTAACCACTGCCATGACCTCTCATCAGCCACTTCACTCACATCTCTCATAAACTTTCCGTGAAGCCTCTTCTGCATAAAATTCTCCCTCCTCTCCTTCTGTACCCTCTTCTTATACTCCTTCTTCGTCTCACCAACTTCTACCATCTCACCAACCACCTTTAGCATCCACTCTTCACTGGCTTTCACATACCCACACAAACCAAGCTCTTCTTCTCTCACACAATCAACAACACTGATCAGTCCCCTACCACCATGCTTCCTCTTCATGTACAATCTTGGAACACTCCCCTTCTTGTGAAATGTCCCAAACATTGTCAACCTCTTTCTAGTCTTTACATCCATCTCCTTTAACTCTCGATCACTCCAGTCCAAGATACCTGCACTATACCTTACCACACTAACAGCCCAAGCATTGATTNTTCTAAGGACCTTGATTCTCTCTATGACTCCGAAGCTTATACCTCTACGGTAAATATTAGTGAAAATATAACGTTTTTAATATTTTTTGATATTGCCTAAAATCCCAGGCCTTAACACCCTTGAGGCGCTAATCCATTGCGCCACGGGGATTCGAATGACCTGTACGTGGTAGTATTTGAGGATTAAAGCTCAGCTGAGTCAAAATAGATTTGAATGATTATCTCTGATTCAGTAGAATGTATTTTCAGCGGTCGGGCTTAAAAYAAAAAGCTAGACAAACAATAATGCTTTATGCATCGCAAAGACAAAGACATGGCTTGCATGATATTACCAATCTAAACTCAATCTTAATGTTTAATGAGATGATATTATGATAATATTAGTAATATTAATTTTAGGTGTCTGTTTACGAAGAGGATAGCTGCAGTACATGCGTGCAAGACTCTGAGCCCAACGTGGGCGCCATTCCATGTTGTCATTATGGAGATACAAGCCAGTGTCGATTTTGCAGGTAATAGGAAAAAAATACATAAATATATTAGATGGCTGTTAGTTTAAAATTGAAGTCTTAAATTTATATGTTTAATTTCATGATAGACCATGTCCGCAACGAATCAAGCGGGAAAAAATGAAAAAAAACTGGTTCTTTATGTTCTTTTTCAAATTTTGGCGGGCTTTCGCATCTCTCAGAAGATGTAAGACTTGCAGAAAACAACTTAAAAGAAGAAAAAAAGACAAAAGTGTCATTCTTAAGAACGACACAGACATTCAAAAAATTCGTTCTGAGAGAGGTGAAGAAATACTCTAAAATTTGGCATAGTTTGATTGACTAAGACAATTAGGCCACTCAGTCTCGTGAAAWACGAGCTGATGCTCCATTCGATTATTAATAAGTATATCAACACGTAGTCCATTAATTGTTAAATATTTTGCTACCAGTACTTAGTATTACTTATGTTGTTTGGACTTCCAGGTTCATTACTGTGGCATATTTTCTAAATGACGTTGATAAAGGAGGAGAACTGGTCTTCCCTCACGCAAATAGTAAATTTGAGGTAATCGGCTTAAATTACACAACAGTAGCATTACAAGACAATTTAGCAGTTTTGAATTACTACACTGTTTTTTGTTCTTACTGTACTCATTGTCGTACAATGAAGCAGTAATGAAGTACTAGAGTTTTTTGGTTTTACTGGTGTAGTATATTCTTTAACTGTAGCATATAAATTATTTTTTCTTATTAGGGAGACATCTCAAACCACCCAGGAAACTGGTCAGGCTTTTTTACTTTTGCTAAAACTACAGGAAGTAAAACCACCTTCAATGTTCAGCTGACCTTCAAGACCGAGGGCGCAAATAAGATTTTACATGGTGTGGGAAAAGATGATAGTGGTGATTTTCAGTTTGTTGACAGCCTTGTTGCAAACGATATTGTAAGGTTAGAATTGCTTTATAGTTTTTTTTGTCGCGCGCCTTAAAACATTATCTGAAATCTTCATGGTATCCTGAGCCATTTGAAAATCGAATCTGAACACGGCTTGCAATAGACCTTTTATGAGATAGCAGTTTGCATGCATAGTGGTCTAGATTCGGTACAAACATATTTTATCCATGCTGCCAAAATATGGCGTTGTTTGTACTGAAGCTAGAGCACAATGCATCTTGTTTTTGTATTTTAGAAAAGGTCTATGATAGAATTTATAATTTAGAGCTTTCGAGTGCCTTCGAGTGTCCAAGGTCATTATTCCAACATGAGCGCAGCACGTTATATCGTAAAAATCGTATATTAACACATAAACGCTAGAGTACAAACGTYAAATGTGTGCAACACTTTCCACTATTTACTACAATATAGTGTTAATTAAACAATAGAAAACAATAGAATTAGAAGTATTTAGTGGTATTCATGTTGCACAGTTTTAGTGTTTGTACTCTATAATTATCGTTGTTGTTTCATAGGTTTCGAAAGAAATATACCGATGYTAAAGGAGATGATATGTTCATAAAATACGCTGGTCGTGTAAAGAATGGGGTCACCGTCGAAGGAAAATGGTGGGTCCCAGGCCAGTCGAGAATGAATGGAAGATTCTTCATGTACTCTACTGACTATGAGGTAAACTCAAACTCAACGTACCGTGATCTGTACCTTTTCACAGTCAAACGAATTCTTCTCTATAGATTTAGTGACTGCAGCGTGTTTATTTTAACAGAGATGGCTTGATCGTGAGATCCAAAAGTGCAACTCAAAAGCTTATTGCACAGACAGAAGCCTCGTCATAAAACCACAAAAGGGAAAAGCCGTCATGTGGTATAATCACATGACTAATGACGATCATTGGGTTGGTGCTATTAATGACAAAAGTTACCATGGTAACTGTGACGTCATCGAAGGCGAAAAATGGCTCGCAAAGAGTTATATCAATGTCATGGGTGACGGTAATGTCACTCTGAAGGCTTGGAAAGCCGGTACAAACTGGTTATCTACAACGAATAGAAACAATTACCAAGAACTTATCACAAAATTGACAGGCGAAAAGCCTAAACAAGAAGACGCTATTGARGAAATGTTTAATAAAGATATGTCAGACTCCAAAATCAAACCTGCAGACGAGCGGCCCCCTGAGAGACATGTTCTCAATGCCGTGACGTCATTATTAGAGGTTCTCGACCAGAATGGCATTAGAGAAGTCTCTAAGAAAGTTCATCAGAAATTACAGATGACTTGTATCCCTTTATTTATGAATCAAGAAGGCAAGATTAGGGTTGTTGATGGAAGCACAGACCAGTAGTGCGGCGTCTTTAAATTTAGTATTTTTTTAGGTGATTTAGTTGCGTCCGTAGTCTAGTCAGACTAAATTTGGTAACTATCCAAACATGAAATGAGAATTTGTATTGTGTGTGCTGATCTTCGCATTCCGGGGCGCATGTGCTCAAATTCCTGTGATATAGAACCTAGCAATGACTAATGAACAGACCTAAAAGAAGAGCGGGATTTACGTCGTACAACGCCACATGCAACAAAATAAGGTGCAAGTCAAGTTGCTGAAATGAATGCACGGTGAAACACTGAGCTCCTTTAGCCTCTATGAGTGCTAAAATAATAAGAAATATCTATCTCTATTTCTTTGGACAAAATGAAAGCTATAACTTCTACTTTTCATTAGTTCGCTCATGACGCTTCAGCAGCCATATTGCTGTACACATAACAAACATCTCTTCTTGATGTCAATGATCACCGCTTTAATATCATTCTTTTGGTCTTTATTTCTCTCTACAAACAGTTGTATAGTTCGTTATACATAAAATCATTACTCAGCATTTGTAGATTGTATATATTGATAACATAAAGTCACTTTAAGAAATTCTCATAAATGATTCACCAGCTAAATCAATAATTTAAAATAGCTATTTCAAAAAAAGGTTGTCACAGCAAAGACCGAATGCACGACCGCAAGGTACCATTGGTACGGCAATATTCCAGTATTAAAACACTGTTTTCATMTAGTATTTCTCATCAAATATTTGAGTRTTTTCCATCAAAAACTGAATACCTACAATTCGGTCGTGCAATCGACGTTACGCTCTGACAACGTTTTTTTTTGGAAATAGTTATATGTTAGTGGTCAAAATTTGCCTAAGTTCTCAAAACCTTGTCGAAGAGAACGGCAAACGGCCGTTGGGTGTTATCAGAGTGGCATATATCCCATTGTATATGCAAGGATATTTTTTGTACATAATACAAATAAAGAGATGTCAAAAAGCCTTGCACTTGTTTCCATGTGTATATAGTATTGTATTATTGTAGTTATTATGTGATTTATATTCACCATAAAATAAGGATATAGAGTTGATATTTTGGATATATTATAATATAATGCTAAACTCTGTGAAAAGCGCAAAGTTTATTCTGGCTTATTCTCCAAAAGTTTATTATTCGGTTTAATATTCGAATATGGTTCACAATTTGTTTTCATTGAATGAAATGATGAAGGACCCATGCAGCAAAGGTCCTAAGATTCTATTTCTACGCGATTGACAAAATTATAATCGGTACAGTTCGAGAGTGCTCAATTGTGACTTACAAKGATCGTAGGTTCTATAAACGTCCGCCATAAATCCTTATATTACCCATRATACACTTCGGCGAAACAAACATGGCGTCGTTGTAGATTATCATTGTTGGCTATTCCAAATCAGAATTTTCAAACAACTTGAATTAGCCATATTCTCTATGTCAATACGCCACCTATAAAGCAAGTCATATAGTTAGGAAAATTTAAAAATTAATGGATGCATAGGATACTCCTGAAAATCCTCAGGGCGCCAAGCGGCTATATGACGTCACGGAGAGATTACTGAAGCGAACTCAAACCTTTTTGTAGGACAAAATAGCAGGGTCATTAAAATCCATTCAACACATTTTAAATTCCTCGTAGCCTCGTGAAAACGCGAGCCATCGTCTGGATAGGACTATTGAATTTACTAGTATGTGAATGGGACTATTGCAGCGGCTCCAATGAATTTGTTACCTCTTCCCTTCAAATGCAGAAAACCTTGAAGTATAACTTTCTCTGTTAACTTAACCTTGTCCACACACAAGCTGTGTTATGTGTTGTAATCGGCTTAAAAACAATCTTTAAGTTTCAAAATTTTGGAAACTGTTGAACGTTTGTAATGTATTCAGGTTTTACAGGTCATTTATAATCAGATGTATAACTCTTTTGATTTTATAGAGGAATTTCCATCTTCTGCGGAAGGCGATTCATGCGACTATGCTCATTCGTACCTTTTTTCTCGTCGATAGAATAAATCAGTTCACTATTGAGGCCGCTATAAATGTTTTTAACAGACCACAGAAAATCAATCTAGCAACCACATGCTGATTTACCATGTGATATTCCAAGTTATTGTATGGTTGGGTGGGTGGTCATACAGTGGAACGGCAAGTACCAGTTCGACAAATCAATAAATTATTCCACTTTGACTTGAAACAGCTAATCAGAAACTAAACATGAAAAACTGATTTTGTATTATACTATAAGGCAACAGAATTTATACCATGGACAAATATATCTTTATTCATATCACAGGAATCATATTTTTGGTATTACACGGTTTTGTAAGATCAACAGAATTACCTTCTTGTGAATGCTCTGAAGGCGACAAAGACAGCTGTAAAAAAGAGCGATTACATTTAGCATTGCCTTATATTAATCCTGTAAAGGTAAGAAAAACTTAAATTTTATTTCGTCTAATGATAATGATATACTTTTAAATTGTTTTAATGGTTTATAGCTGAGCTAAACAGTCAATATTACAATTATATGACTGTAGACCAGTTTATTAATGATTACTTTTAGTTTTATCCCTTATTCCTATTAATGCTAAGAACCACTCGTTCATACRTTGTTTTTAATCATTTTGGTACATGAATGTGCCAATAAGCAAGCAGTGATTTTTTAAGGTATCATTATTTGCATGTTAAACAGTGTTAAGATAATTTTAATAAACTGTTGCAAGTTCATTCAAGCAAAGACATTTTTAAGTGCTTGAGCCTGCGATGCGTTGCTCAAGATAAWATTACTATCAGAATTACTAAGTCAAAAAATCATCTTCTTTTCCAAAGAAAAATAAATTTGTCTACAACACTGGCTTACATGTTCCTACTATTTTTGTTTGGCGATGTCAGCAAGATCTTGGAAATACTAATCATGTTGATATCGCTCTATATATTATACACTCTACAAATTACCCTRGAGGCTCCATCTGAGCTAAATATATTTATCTTGTGTCTTTTTTCAAAAGTGTCAACATGTTTAAGTTACTATAGATAGCACTGTCAGCATGGTTTAGATTTGCATTTGCGATATATAAATATAGAATATTACAATACTATTACAATATTTACAATATAAGCATCCAYGAATCCTTTGTGTGAACAATATAATTCAATTGAAAAGTTCATAYAAAATTTGTATCCCTATAATAGGTTGGTCATGAACAGACCATTGAGACGTCAAATGGAAAGACATTCAATATGCGGACATTAAGTTTATCGCCGCCCATTTTCGGTGAGAAATCTTAATCTTGATGTCTTTATAGTGTTGTTGTTGTCGTTGTTGTTGGTTGTTGTTCTTGTTGCTGTTGCTGTCGCTGTCGTTGGTGCTGATAATCATCGTGCAAATAGCATATTGTCTTGACCAAACGTTTCCGTGACAACAATCCAAGATCATTTTTAAGTAATAACAAATCATCCTAGGTGCAATTTCAAAATGTTTGACGCTTATTATCGTCTTTAATACTGAAATAATTTTAATTCTCTTAGAAATCCCAAATTTCTTYACTTCTGAGGAGTGCGACTATGTAATTGAAATGGCCAAGAAAAGGGGTATGTCAGATAGCCCTGTACTGAAAGACAAGAGAATCTTTCAAAACGAGACAACTGAAGAAGTTTTTAACACTTGGGATGTTAACAACGATGGATTTGTCGACATGGATGAGGTAGGTTTCCTTTGGTTTTTGAACTGAGAACTTATTGTTTATGACCTTGCAGCTTCATCACACAAAAAAAATGGTGATTCCAAATTAGCTTTCAAGAACTGAAGAAAATATTTTTATAACTGTGCCGAGCGCGAAGACAAACATTCCAATAAATGGAATATAGATATAATATTTTTTGTATAAATTATTGCTATTAGATGATGATGCTTCGTGGTAACAGCAATTTATATATCACAGATGAAGATATAGCTACAATGTAAGAACGAACTGAATTTCATCTTAWTGTTTTCATGTTGATGAGCTTTGATCAACTGAACTGTTGGTTGTCCACTGATTGATTGACTGAACTTGGTTTGTCGATTCATTGCTTGATGGATTGACTGATGCAGAACTAACTGCTTGGTTAATAGAATACTAAACTGATTTATTGATGGGCTCTCTGTATGATTGATCAATTAACCGATTGATTGATTATTTCATGTATGGCTAGATGTCAGAGGACGGATCGATCGAGCGATCCAGTGAGCGATGAAATGATTGATGAATTGATCGTTGAATTGATTGCTTGGTTGTTTGCTTTGCTGTTTGGTTGGTTGCTTGGTTGGTTGGTTGCTTGCTTGTTTGCTGGTTGCTTGCTTACTTTTTTGGTTGGTTGGTTGCTGGATTAATTGATTGCTTTCTTGATTGCTTGCTTGCTTGGTGGATTAGTTTGTTTTCTTATTCATTTTCCTTGATTGCTTAGTGCTTTTTTGGATGATTGGTTGGTTGGTCAGTTGATTGATTGGTTGCCTAGTTTGTTGGTTGCTTGCTTGCCTACTTGCTTAATTGACTAATAGATTTTTTGATATTTTTTTAAGGTTTGAAAAACTAGGAATTGACAAGGATGAAGATGGTGAATATACTTTTTGACAACAATATATAAGATGAATTAAGAAATAAACAATGCTTAATTGTTATGGGAAAATCATTCAAAAAAATGTACATTTTTCTCTTTTCATAAAATCTGTTTATTATTCCCTTCAGGTAAGATGAATTTTGAAGAATTTCAAGAAGTCACAGCAGAAGGCTTTAAGAATTACTTCGACCGTCTTCGTCGAGAGGTGAAGTCTCTWCAAAGTAGAAACAGCAAACAAACATGGATGTGGCATGACGAAGACGAACTTCTGATGTACGAAGACCTTCTCGAGGATTATCACGATAGGTYAGTGTACATACTGAACAATTCCAAATGCAGTTAGRTATCGCATAACTCGATCGGTTCGGAAGTTTATTACAATTTTTGTTAAATTCATTTATGATCGATTGTATTTTATGTTTTTTTTTATAAAAAAGTGCAACTTAGTTTATCAGTTTTAGTTTTCTCTGTCAATCTCTTATAATATAGTCGCATTACATTGCATTCTTCTCAGAACTGCAACATTCACCCGGATCARGATCATATTGTTACGTCGATATATATTCATTCACCTGGGTTCAGACCTTTTAACGATATACATTGCCTCGTATTGTATTGTATCTCAGATTTGCAAAGATCACCGGTCTTCCTACTAAGATGGTAAAGGAAAACGAACCACTKCAGGTAAGAAAATCTTTACTGATACATACAGAAATACCACACTACTTCTGCTCAACGTCTTTCATGGCTAATGCATTAGCATCGTTTACTAAATCATSAGTGATAATCATTTACATCAAAAAAATCTAATAATTTGTTAACTCTGTTGCATAAGGTTGTMCAGTATCCAGAAAAAGGACATTACCACTGTCACTATGATTCTGATGTGATCAACAAAGAACTGCCTTGTTGTGTCTACGGATCAAAGAAATGTAGGTTCTGCAGATATCTTACTGTAGCAGTATTCTTGAATGATGTGGAAAGTGGTGGAGAACTGGCTTTTCCAGTTGCTGACAATGCTACCTATAACTGGGAGGTAAATATCAAAATTTGAATATTTACTGCTCCATTTACGTACGCTAATATTTAACGTTGAAAATGGTCTGCCGTTTGACTGCTGCAAGGAGTGTTTTTTTTTTGGTTACTCCGTTACGGAGTAATTTACTATGTCGCCGCGGTGTAAGCAAACAACAAATCTGCAACACCCGACTTATACGCGACTCTTTTCCGAAATCGGTTCGATCATTTCACAATCGATATCGCAGCGGAAAGGACGAATGAGCGACTTTTTTTTTTTTTTTTTTTTTTTTTTTTTTTTTTTTACTAATAAACGACATAACTATCATTTCTTTTAGGTTTGGACAAAGGAATCATACACAAACTGTAACATGGTAAAGCATTGTGCAAATTCAAATGTTGTAGTCAAACCAAAAGCCGGTACAGCGGTTTTGTTCTATAATCACTTATACGATAAAACAAGCCAATGGTCAAGCGCCTTGGATCCCAGGTCTTTAGTAGGAGAATGTCAAGTTAATAAAGGAGAAAAATGGATTGCATTTTCTTGGATGAGTGTCCCTGGAGATGGTATTAATGAGCTTAAGTCATGGAAAATGGGATCTAATTGGCTGTCGATCAATAATCGAAATATGGAAGTGTTGTCGTCGCTAGAAGCAAATTACAAACCTACAGAAGAGATTACTGAGAATCGATATACCAGAGAAAAAAATACACGTGGAGACGCTTCGAAGCATAGCAAAGAAACCATTCATAAGGCTATCAAGGAAAGTGATACTGGTAATCACAACACCAAGGAGACTCTTGGAGAGTCGAGCGAGAACATAGAAGGACCTGAAAAACTTAAAAAAGAAAGCGAAGTTGAAATTACAACTGAGCACTACGATGCTCTAGAGGGAATTAACATGAAAGAAATCAAAAAGGAATTTCTAACTCAACAAGAAAATAAAGAAACCGAACCGTCAACCTCTTCTTCCGAGGGAGAGTCCAGTAAAAAGGATGATGTCAAAAAGGAATCCTTAACTCACACAGAAAATAAAGAAACGGAGCCATCAACGTCGTCCTCCAAACAAAAGTCCACTAAAGAAGACATTGATCTTAATGCATTTCCAAAGGGGCCTGAGGTACATTTAGGCTCTACACCAGCACCTTTACCTCTGCCCCAAGAAAAAATGACCCTTAAGGAGCCAATTGAACCAAAGTTAGACTCTGAGCCCCTCCCTCCTGTGGAAGGCCATCGCGTGCTTAAATCTATAATGCTTTTAATAGATGAACTCGATCAAGTTGAACTTGAAATCGTCGCTAGAAATTTGCACTCACGATTAAAGCTAGTGTGCGTCCCTTTAATGATAAACCCTATGGGGACTTTACGCTAGGAATAACGTACAAAATTCGATTTTCAACGTGARAAGTCATTGAATCGCGATGGTTAAAATGACGTATTTTACGGACTCAATATTCTAGAGCAAAGCTTGATGGGATAGATTAATGGCCTCCGAACAAATCCGCCCCAAACAAGGTATTTTCTCTTGGCATAAATAAAATAATTCTTGTAAAAAGAAACACATACAAATTAAGGGAATTCAGCAACGTTAACGTTTGGCTACTGTTGATATGATTGACATTATTCCAACCGAATTCTTTTATCCCATCGATGGTCGGGATAAAATTATTAAAAGCCCAAATTAGAAAAAAAAGAAAAAAAGAATTGGCACTTTTATGGTATCCCTCAGAAAGGTCTAGTTTATAAAGTAGAATACTTTAGAGTTATTCCACCAAACCGAGTCGTACATGAGYTGATAGTCAACGAGGCTCCGATTATATACACAATCACTGGATCATGAGAAATTACTGTGCACTCTAATAAATATTAATTTTTCGACAAGACAACTTCCGTCTTGTGCGGCCCGTATATGTTCTTCATGTTCTTTCGTTTAAGCTAAGTKGGTGACTTCCTTGGTTGTTAACACTGATTGTTTTCATTATGAAAGAAAAATCATGAGGAAAACAGTCAAACACGCAAAAAAAATTACAGTTGACAGTTGTCTATTCAAGTAATATATTATGTTGTCTATTCACAGCATAAATTGTCTGAATTCGCAAGGATTATTCATGTTTTACCGATCAAATTTTAGGATAATTTTGTGACCAAAACGGCGGTAAACCACAATATGTGATTGTTTTTTGTTTTTTTTTAAACACACACTAAAATAAAATCTTTTCCATAGAGGCATTCATGTTTACACCATCAAGTAGTGTTATGGGAAACGTTTGTGGCTTTCTTGGTGTGTTTACGCTGTACATTGTGTTCAAGTAACTTTTGATTTCTKSTCCTTTGCAAAGCGACAATACGGAGTCCTATCTTGCAATTTTGTATTATTTACCAACCCAACCACACAAAACTGAATTGTTTTAAAAAGAATCCTTCATGTCTCTGTTCCGAGATAGACCTACATTAAATCTTGCGGCTTTTTTGGTATCAGTAGGAACTTCGTTTTCGTGTAAGGACTTGATTTTGCTTTCACTCACACACTATGATTTGCATATCTCGCTATTTTGTTTTCTCCATCCTAGTAGTGGAGAAACCAATCTTATCGGGCCTTTTCTCATATCCAGTGACTGTGTTTATAACAACCTACAAGTCAATCTCATTAACGCTGTTCAATTGTAAAGACATAACGACAACAGCAGAGTCATTTGCATATATCTTGTTTAACTTCTTTACAAAAATATCCAACAATATCAATAACATTTTAATTCGCTATTTACTGATCTAAAGTTTAGAATTACAATTCTTCCTGGGATTTTTGAAAACCTTTATATGCAAATTAAGTTGTTGTGTCTCAGTATATGTCTTTACAAGTGATTGAACAACGTCAATCGGATTAACTGTATACAGAATTGTGCAAAACATATAGTTAAAAGTAATCCGCCATTGGTAGGGAGGTTCTCACAAGACATATACTGAAAAGGCAATACTTCAAAAAGGAATTTACCAGAGTTCTTAGAATGGCAAGTACCAAGAAATATAAGAAAATTTGAATTATTATTCCATATGTAAACTACATTAGCAAAGAACCTGTTTCAGGATATTAAGTTAAAGGGAGATACAAAATCATTTGTACATAGAAAGCAATGATGTTAAGTTTGATTAAAGGAATAGTTTTCTTTATAAATTGCGCTTGAGGAAACTTATACTCATTCTTTCGAAACGTTGAGTATTGTACATATAAGATGACTTCGTGGAAAGTGCTGCATGATGTACGGGATGCATCTTTGAAAGCATAGTGCGTCCCAATACTACAATACATTATATTGCAAAATGACAATTCTAAACTTAATTTCTGTTCTTTTCAGTCTTAAGTTCTTGACTGTATGGAGCTGATATAGTCACTCCGAAACCACAAAAACCCGTTTTATAGACGCCGATAGAAAGACCAGAAATACTGTTTAGTCTAGTAATACGTATCCAGTATCCGKGTATAGCCTATCCAACGTTTTCTAATTTTATTGTATTGGCATAGCGTATTGAGCGCGGAGACAACATTTTGTTTAAGTATAGGTAATTGCATGTTTTGTAGTGGTATTTGGGATTAAAGGGACACTGTCAATTGATGACATGCGCAGTAACAGTCTCGCCTCTAACGGACTTTGAAAGTATTACCTTCGAGATAAATCATTTTGTGGTGCTTTTGACACAHTTTGRAATATTCTAGATSTGTTTACGTTTACGAGCTGATTTATGTCGCGCCAACTTGGAGTCATAAGCTTGAAAAYATTAGCATAAATGTTTTCAAGTTTACTCGCGCATGCGTGCAATTGACAACAATTGCAATTGCAATTGACAATTAAYACAATGCGTGATATTTCAAAATTGTCGAACAAAATTCACGAGTGAAGCGAGTGAAATTTGTGACAATTTTGAAATATCATAAGTGGTATTTATCCCAAATTCCACGTACAAAATATGTATTATTTGTTTATAAAATGGTTGAATGAAATTTTGCAATTTGAAATACCACTACTAAGGATAAATACCACTCCTGTAGAGCAATCAAATTGCAAAATTTCATTCAATCATATTATGAAAAGATGAATATAACCTTAGCTGATTAAAATTCACATAAAGCTTTTTTTATATACTTTTCTTTTTGTCTTTGTTTTGTTGTTGCTGTAGTTTTATTATTTTTTGTTTTGTTGCATTTTTTTTGTGTGTCCAGAATTTTTTCGTTTGTTGTTGTTGTTGTTGTTGTTGTTTTATAGTGTTTGAAAGGAAAAATAACCAACCACAAATTAATAAATAGCGCTTGAATATATAGTAGACAATAGAAAAACAATGAATGATTCTCATTCGACAATTTTAATTTAAAAAAGCACTAAAAAAACCTTTTTTTTTTCAAACAAACAAAAACAANTCATGTTTGTAACGTTTTCAATTTAAAAATAAAAATAAAAATTAAAAGAGATTTTAATTATGCTCAAGTTCATCAATAAGGCGAGCTTTCCTGGTTTTACACTAAAAACAACTTAAGAACACTGGAAAAATCGCGCGCTTTAAAGGCGCGATTTGATGTAAATGATTTCCATTAAATTTACAGAATTTTGGACACTTACATCGTATTTACATGAAATTTACAACCTTTAAAGCGCGCGATTTTTTCCAGTGGAAAAGTATTTCGGAACGACATTTTTAAAAACTCATCCAATCCAGTACGTACAATTCTATAACGTTGATTAAAAGTCTAATTGAGATAACATTTTTGTTTCTGCAAAGCGAAACATGCGTGACGTACATTCAGCTCGAGCTACAACGATCGGTTTAATAGTTTCACTTCAGCTAATCAATTCAGTTGTGTCTGTTTACCAAGAAAACACGATTTGTAGTTTCTATAAGCCAATAAGCAACTGGAATTAGCAAATTCCATGGAGGTTTGAACGTGTCTTCGCTTATTTACTCACATAATTCATCTAAGAGGAAGCAGAAGTCACCTTTCCCAGAAGTCTGCAATTTGACTTGTGACTTTTGATCGGTTTGTCACATCTTTTCTATCGCTTGTATCAATTTGTCTCTCTAATATAAAACCTACAGTCGTTGTGATTAACAATTAGTGGCATTTCGTAAGTTCAAGGGCATCTTTCGACACTGGTAATAGCGATAGTGTTGATCAACGTCTTATTAAAAGACGGAAATGTCTACCACATATGCCAAACAGGAACCCTTGTCTTTTCTGCTATTTGTAATTTTGTACATAATTCTTCATTGTTCTGGACAAACAGGAGCAACAGGTAAGTGTATAAGTAAGATAGTCATTACGTGTGAAGACAAAACATTTTGATTTATTGAGGATTCATAATCAAATAGAATCGAAAGAGAAACTATACTCACTGACTGTGACTAACTGAGTTTAAGTCGTTGTCTCAAACCTTTAAATCACAAAGATTTATTTTTACTATTAATGCCTTCTTTGTGTATAGCTCGTCTCAATAGACTCATTCGTATGGACGAGTGCTTAATTTGTCGATTTTATTGTAGTTCATGCCACTTAACAGACCGCTTAAGCTAGCAGGAAGTATTATATAGTGTTTACGCAACCAGCCCATGCATCATTTGACTGATGTTGATCCTTGAGCTACAATAGCCCGTCGTATGATCGGTATATGGTGACGATTGTATTGTCTTCGAGGAAAAAAAARAATAGAAGATACAAAAGAGTTCTTACGTTCTAAAATTCACCATTTCGTAATAGTCTTCCATTGATTTTCAAGTGAATTTTTAAGTCTTGTTTACCCTAGTAATTTTGTCACGCGACATAATGATTTTTTAAACCCTGACCTAATTCAAAACAGGAAAATCGTGAAATTCCATACACTATTTAAACCAAATCGGTAAAATGTAGAAGCTATCCGAGCAGATAGCTCTTTATGTGAGCGATTTTGGTTTGCGATAAAATCATCGCAAAAATCGAACCTTAAGTTTTCACACGATAAAACTGCCGTTGCTGAAAGCGGGCCTTTTTAAAAACTTCTTCAACAATTTTAATTAAAAGTCCTGATAAAAATTATGATATTTGCTTACAGCGGCGGTCACGCTATTATCCCCAATTCAATCTGCATAATTTCAAAATAACTAGACGATCATGAATCGCTTAAGTGGGCTTCCTGTAGCTGCGACAATGTTATTTCATTTTCACGATACAGTCTTTGTTTGTAATAAGTCAAGACAGAATTAATTTAATATAAGTTATTTACTACATCATAATCTTTTACAGAACTGAACTCTAAGTAACTTCTTTAGATATCATGTCTTTCTCAGTTTTCCAAAATAACTAGCTCGACATCACGTAGGCTTAAGTTGCGCTCTAAGAGCGTCTATAATATTCAAAATATGCAAGATATCTGAAAGGTCATATAAACAATAGAAATGGTACAGTCTTTGCAGTTTTGTCAGTATCGTATAACTTTGAATAATATTTTGATCGTTTGAATCATGTAAGATCTTATGTTTCTGTTCTTTTTATTTGGTGTTACATCTGGTGTTCTGTGCCATCGTCAAACAGGTATACCTTCTAATGACAGTTCATATTTTTGGATTTGTCTACGTTTTTCAAGTTAAACAATCATCAAAACAAATTTCAATAAAGAATAAAATGCTTCATACACTATATAGATTATGTACAGAGTTCGGTAAAGCTCACACGTGCAGTTTTCAACTTCAAACACATCGTCAGTTTAGAAAATGGCTTCTCAAACTCATTAATAATTCATGACTTCATAGTCCAATCGGATGTTTATTTTAGAGTCACGTGCATACCCTTGGATACCATGATCCAACATCGAATGCTAATTAGTTCCAAACCCGTGTGTTTAGATATCCAAATCCATGTGTTTGGATATCCAGACACATGTGTTTGGAACTCATTAACATAAATTTGCTAGGCTCTTAAAACTTCTCCGTTACYWYTWAYCWYTTATCTTTTTGGGGTGTTTTTTTCTCTTCTTCTTACTTCTCTAATCTTTATTTTAACTAATCAATTTTTTGTTAAGTTATTTTACTATATTATATTAACTACTTCTTACCATTGGAGTGGCTCGAACCGGTGACCTTTGGGTTGAGAGTCCAGTGCGTAACCAACTTAGTTAGTGATGATTTTGTTGAAAGTATTGGGTTTGACGTATTATTTATATTTCTCCTTGTGGCTATGTTAACTTATTACACGTAGAAAATCGATAGATCTATATTTGCTAAAGAAGCGATTATACTTTATAGTTGTCCACGGTACATTTAGTGGTCAGTTTTTTTCATTCTTATAGAGATGTGTACACATTTTGCATATTTTGTACTCATCTTTTATTCTTTATATTTATTCTATGAATACTTCATTCATATTTGAACATACATATTTCTTATTGAGGTTTTTTGTAATACACATTTATGACAAATTGATCACTGGGTTTACTGGAGCATTGGATGATATGCGTTTCTYCCTCTTGTCGCCTGCTGACCGGCCGGGTACTGTTGATTCGTGGTCATGGTCGAACTCACAGGCTGCGATCCGACATGTCCGAGAACGTTTGACACTATCTTGCATACGTTTGTACTTKGTTTTTYGTAATGTCTACACATTTGCCATGACATGAAAATTTCCACGGCCCACTTCGTTTTGTATTGTAGATTGTGGCGTAGCTTTTGACAATAACTCAGCATCTTCTTCTCGAGTTGTTAGATCTCAAAAGCTACACGCGGAGATTGCCTCCGCCATTTCAACTTATGAAATATATTGAACTGAATAAACAGAACTACTACAAATTTATTACAAATYTCTCTCCTTTGGGGTTTATATATATAATAGCGATTGATGATGCCACTTTCATTCTATTCATACCCAAAATAGGACTGATGAATAAATCCAATTACGGTCTTTAAGGAATTTGCCAGCTGAAGTCATTCATTATCAATTTGTTTGAGAAATCAGATCAAAAACTCGTGCTTCGTGTTTCATCAGGGGAATCCAAACATCTCGAAACGCTAAAAGCACTTGGCCTTCGGCCGCGTGCTTTCATCTGTTTCTCGGTGTTTGGATCCCCTGATGAAACACTCGCACTCGTTTTTGATCTATTACATCAATATTTTTCAGATGAGGTTTGATATGTTTTAGTCCATCTCGAATAATTATTCTTCTGTCAAAGTATGAACCTCAAATATCCATGTGATTTCTTATTTTTGAAGATTTTGTGATTTACATGGAACACTTGTCAGCTTGTTGTGGAGAAGTAGGACTAATTAAAACTGAGTAGTGCTCTTCGATTCGGCGGTAAAAAATGCCCAGTCATGTCTGCACGAATCATCCGACAACCTTGAATTATATACCTYATTCCATGTCGTTTGGATGTTAATCAGTTGATTTTGTAAGATTTTCAGCTCTTTAGAGCATTTTAGCTACATTTTAGAACCATTTGAAATGAGACAACTTTYTGCCGCCGTCTGTCAGCCATTTTTTTTCATTCTGAGACTGCAGACCATCTGCAACGCAGGCGCTACCAATTTGAAGCATCTTCACGACTTTCATTTTAAGACGTGGTCTTCCACAGGAATCCCGCGTAAATATAAAAGTATGATAAGTTTATGATATTAACAATCCTAGTAATCCTAAAAAATTGCAAAATTGCCGAGATATTCTTGTGCTAGTAGCTAGCACAACCCAGTAGTACACAGGAAGCCGAATTAAGGAGCCTAGATTTAGGGATGATGGACGTTAATCGAAGAACTAGAAGCGGCAGTTCATTTTGTAGCTGAACTTACGTAATTTTGTCCCTGGTTTGCTACAACTGATCTATGTTACTGTTATCAAGAAGCGAAACAGAGAGGTTCTATACTCGCATCGTGTTAACAAATCACTACATTTGTCCTGCCTTACTGTCTTTACACACATGCATGCCATGTTCGCTAAAGTTAAATTCATTTTCTCTTATTCTCGGTATATACTAACTTAAGAAACTAGCTAGCACTAATTTTTTACCACGCCTAGGCCTCGTCCGGCACGGTTATAAATTGCAAGCGCATTTTTTTTCCAAGTTAGGTTTTTAACGACCGCTCGCCGATTTCTCCACGACTTACATCGAATGGGGCAACTTTGCTCCCACTGATATAAAGTACAAGGTAAATGAGGGCGGTCGTTCAAGGGGATGATAGTACTGAAAATGTTTGCTATTTGAGGCATGAAAAACTTCCCGATTATAAAATGCAATTACAATTTTTTTTCCACGTTCATACCCGAGAGCTCGGCGATTTCCCCACGAGTTTACATCGACTGGGACAACTCTGCTCCCACAGATAAAACCATATGGTATGTGGCGGTTTTTCAAGGAGATGAGACTTCTGATCATTTTTGCTGTTTGGGAATGAAAAATCCCCCAAACTTTACGAATATTCTTAGCGACATCTTTATACGAGTGGATATTTTGAGTTTGAGCGGAAACTTATGAGTGAATCTTCTAGATCGAGAATCAAGAGCGAATAATTTTGAATGAACACTCTWTCGAGAATCAAAAGCGAATAMTTTTAAGTGAATCTTCTATCGACAATCAAGAACGAATACTTTTTGAATATTTTTCACGCGCGTCACGCGCCGATGACCTCGGAAATTACAAAGAAATCTATATGTTTACTCTCTCTCCTAGATCAACTAAGTCCTTTAAAACTCGCCAGTTAAGTCATTTTCGTAGTATCTAACGTTTGAAATTAGTGATTCGTTCAGTATAGGAATTCAACTGGAAATATTTGACATCGATTTCACATTGTATCCTTTGTTGTTTTGCGGAACTTTGCCTACCCAAACAAAATGGTGTCATAAGCATTACTTAGGTATCAGAAGGAAATTAAATATTACACTCGACGTATAAACAAACAATATATACACCCT